GATGCAAATGTGTATATTTTTTTCTGTTGGAAGGTGGTAACTTGTAGAGCAACAGAATTTGCACAAGGAGTGTACTTGTAACTGCTAAGAAGTATACCACGACAATTCAATCGTCAAGATTTGAAATCCTACAAACTCAGCGACTGTCATTGTCAAGGTAACGTGATAATTCTTTAATGGGTGCGTAGATAAATTTACCCTGTCACAACTTTCTCGTTATAGTTGCTTTCGCGGTTGTCAATTTCAAGGTTAAGTGATAATTTTTTAATGGGTGCTTAGATAAATTACCCTGTCACAACTTTCTCCTTATAGTTGCTTTCGCGGTTGTTCGAGTTTCGTGCTTAATACTACAAATCACGCAGTAGCAGTGATATGGTATTCTTCTTGATATAAGCGGTAGGGGCTTGTGATTGTATCATTCTGGCTTTTCTATCAGAAAAATGATGTGTTAACTGAGTGTAGAAAGGGAGAGCGAGCGGCCTTTTTTGTTAGCTTTCAACAGAAATGTAAAATAGGATTCCCGAACGTCTCTATGCTGACTTGAAAGAATTTATTCTCTGCGTGGGGTTTTATACGGTGACTCACGCTCGTTTAACGCTCACTGAGTGATCCCTCGCGCGTTTAACGACGATTGAGTGATTCATGGCTAATTTAATTCTGACTGAGTGAGCAATTGGTTTTAGGTAAATTTTGACTGGGAAACTCAGGCGAGACAAGTTTAAAGCTGAGGAATGCCTTGAAAGTAGATAAATCGGTAAATCAAAGACCACACGCGACTTTCATCTTGACTGAGTAATTCCTCGCGAGTATAACCATGGCTGCGTTACGTTATCGCGCGTTTGACACTTACACAGTTAAATTTCTTGCGAGTTTAACGATGACTGAGTAATTCATAGCGCGTTTAACCAGAGAGTTTTAACACTCACTTAGTACTTGCTCACAAGTTTAATTAACCCTTACACACTATAACATTGAGTAATTTCTTGCGAGTTTAACACTTATTACTTTTTTTTCGCGCGAGTTTAACGGTAACAATTAGTTATTCTTAGCGCGTTTAACACTCAAATTTCTTGCAAGTTTAACGATGATTGAGTTATTCACAACGCGTTTAACCAGGGAGTTTTAACTCTCACTTAGTAATTGCTCACGAGTTTAGCACTTATTGAGTCATTCCTTGCGAGTTTAACACATATTTTCTGGTTCTTTCGTGCGAGTTCAAGGTGGCAAGTAGTTATTCATAGCGCGTTTAACACTTAGACTGTTAAATTTCTTTCGATTTTAACGATGACTGAGTTATTTATAAAGCGTTTACCCAAAGAGTTTTAACATTAACATGGTAAATGCTCACGAGTTTAATTAACCCTTTAACTCTTATTGAGTAATTCCTTGCGTGTTTAACACTTATTTTTCAGTTATTTCGCGCGAGTTGAACGGGGGCAATTAGTTTTTCATAGCGCGTTTAACACTCACACAGTTAAATTTCTTGCTAGTTTAACGATAACTGAGTAATTCATAGCGCGGTTAACCAGAGAGTTTTAACGCTTACTTAGTAAATCCTTACGAGTTTAATAGAGTAAGCTCACGAAGAGTTTTAAGCTAATCGAATAATTCCTGGCGAGTTCAATTCTAACAGAAGATAATACTGATTAAGCGACTCCCCGCGATCATTTGGGTGTTAAAAAATGTACACTGTCTGACTTAAGATAGTACTACAATATTATACTACAATCGTGATCTGCCAATCTTTTGATGTTTCGTGATGTCGTAAATCTGTTAAATTACACAAAAAGTGGCATTAAACATTATAAACTAAAAAACGATAACGCTTTTGAGGTGCACATATACATGACCTTACATCAGCAAAATGAGAACAGCTCTCGTAACGTAATGCTGAGAAAATACCACGACGTTTCACTATAACGTTATTCCGAGAGCTTCAGTCGCATGAAGTATTCCTATTAGAGATTCTGTGTGCCCTCCCTGCTCCTTGCTTACCGTTCAGAACACGTCGATTGTGAGAGGCTCTCACTTAAATTTTAAAGGGGCTGTCAAAAGGATATTGCTGTTTTAGGTCAATTCTGCGCCAAAGTCATCACTAAGTGCGTTTACCCTTACACAAAATGTTCCTGTAGAGAGATGAAGAAGATATCATACAAATTCATCAGGGAGCACAAACCAAAATAATCGTCAGTTTCAGTAGTAATTTTTGCAGGCACAGTTAATTTTCAAGTCAACTTGAAAGTATTTGACCATCATGACAACTCGTACATTTCTCTAGAATGCAAAAATTATGTCAAATATCTAGGCGTGCTTATCTTTCGTGGAAATACCATATGGCCCACATCGCTTCAAAAATAAGTAAAACAACTGGCATTATTGCCAGCCTCAGGTACTTTCTAGCCCTGAATACTTTACACCACATACACATATCTCTTATCCAGCCCTACTTATTGTATGGCATAGTCTTATTCTTCCAAAACATGCCCTCCGCCTCCGACTACAATTCTCATGCAGTATCTTATTTTGTCTCCTCAAGCTTTCTTCCTTTAGATCTACTCTACTTTAACTCCGTTGCCATTCCAATGCATGATATATCTAACAGCTTAACACCTCCTAATATATCTAACTTATTTTCTTCCCAATCTAATATTCATTCATATAATACAAGTTCATCTTCAAGAGGTGATTATCATGTTAAACACTCAAGATTAAATAAACAAACTAAGTCTCTTTCAATATATGCCGTAAAAATCTGGAATAGTCTACGGTGTGAAATGCGTCAAAGGTCCAAAAATAACTCAAACATCAATGTCCACCACACTTTACTCGGAATACTTTCAGAAGAAAATGATTATATCACAGGGCGTCCACACAAAGTGTGTGTGTAACCGATTGTTATTTTATAGTAAATGTACTGGATTTACCGTTTGCTTCGCCTAGATTGATAGATCGCTAAGTATGTCTATAAATCAATATTAAATAAACGTTGAATTACCTTATCTGCGGTATATTGTCGTCATTTTTCCCCAAAGGCAGGTTTTTGAGCGATTTTGAAGGATTTTGAGTTCGCCGGAACAGTAAACGGCGAATAGGCGAACTTAAAATCCTTCAAAATCGCTCAAAAAACCGCTTTTGAGGCAAAAGAACGATGATAGGGGAGGTAAAGTAATTCAACGTTTATTTACCATTGATTTATATGCACACTTAGCGTTATATCGTTATAGGTGAAGCAAATGGTAAATCCAGTACATTTACCATAAAATAACAATCGGTTACACACACATTGTGTGGGCTCTCTGTGATTAAATTGATTTACCCGACTTAATAACAAAACTTTGCTGAAAAATTTGGCTTCTTACATTTTATGATTGTAAACTTCAATGAATTGAATTTATTGTTATTTATTTATTTATTTAACATTTTTTTTTACTCTTTTTCTCTAGTCTTGCTTCTGAGCTACCGTAACATTCCGAAAATAAGACCCAGGGCTTATATTTTTCAAAGGCCCTTTTTGAGAGGCTTATATTCGGAGGGGTTTATGTATGGAGGGAAATTTGGGTTTCAAAAATCGATTGGGCTAGCCTTATTCTTGGAAGGCAATTTACCGTTTTTCTTTGTTTTACTTTGTATTTGAGGGCAATTTCCAAGTACAAGCCCTCCGGGGCGCTTATATTTGGAGGGGCGATTTAACGGAGGGTTTCTTGCGTTAGGAGTTTGGGGAGGGAGGTATATTTGGGGGGGCTTATACATGGAGGGGCTTATTTTTGGAATTTTACGGTATTTGTATATATATAGAATACGTGTAACCACTGCTCGCCTCGACTAGCTAATCTACTAACTGCAGGCAGTGGATTAATTGCTTACAGTAAAATTTGTAGTAATTAGTTAGCAGTTGAAAAGTTGTTTCGATCCATGTCCATCCTTGCCATCCGTAGCAACAGACGACAGGAAACAGTTTGGAATTCAATTGATGCGAGAAATGTTTTACCTTTAAAATTTTTAAAGAGATGGCAAATAGCATGACATAGCCCTTTTAACCCTATGGTTCTGGACATAATTAAGTCCAAATTTGCAGATTGTTTCTTTTACGGTAGTTGCACCTATACTTGAGAATAGGTTGTCTTTTGCGATGAGAAGTGGCCCTCTATTGCCATATTTTAAGAAAGCACTGAAAACATTTTTGTCCCAGGAGGCTTTTATGTAATAAATTTTATCAAGCAGTTAAATCTATTTTAAGGTGGAATCAAACCACTTTGAGATGAAACTGCATTTCCAGACCTCATCATTTTCTTTAGATATTTAGCTAATTATGTCGCTAGTATGTTCATTCACTGTTTTTATGACCCTTAAAACTTTGTTTCAAAATATTTCCAGAATAGAATTTGTTCAAACTTTGCCATAATCAAGGTAACTAAAGGAGGTACAAGCTCTGTTAAGTGATTACTGAAAAAACTCCTGGTACCGAGAAATACCTAGGCAAGTAAAACATGTACAGGTGTCATTACATTGCCATGGCAACTCTGATGTCAATAATACATGGATCATAACTAATTTTCATCTTTATATAGTACTGTTGTGGTAACCTTTTACTGACATATGTGTTAATGCCGAGGTAATAAACGCTCAAGTGGGGAAATATACTCCCTAAAAATTCAGGCTAGCCACCTTAAATTGTTTTATTTGCTTTTAGGGGAATTTATGCAGTTGATGTGCAACATAGTAATCTAAGTAGACTTATAGCTTTAACGTTTGATACATTAAAAATTTTATTTTTTTAAGCACTGACGAAAATATTTATTATTGATATGAGCCCATGAAAAAATAATAAATAATAATAATAATGATAATAATGATTATAATAATAATTAATAATGATAATAATAATAATAGTAATAGTACGAGCACAAGTGGGAGCAGTGGCAGTGGTAGTGGTAGTAGCAGTTACTCTAGTAGTAGTAGTTTGCTGACTTCATGTTACCTCCTGTGAACAGGTAATAATCATGGCAGAGTCACCTGGTCCGGCCACAACTGGCAGAAGCTCGGTTCAGCAATCCACTGAACAAGATGCGAATAGTTCATATCCTTCTCCTTCTCCACCTCACCCACTTCCTCTAAAACGAAAGAAAAAGGAGCCTGGGACTCCAACCTGGAAAAATGTAGTTGTTTTAAAAAGCAGTGATGTGAGAAAAATAGGAGACAAAGTCCTTATGCCATTTACAACACAAATGTCAACCATAAAAAAGTCACTAATACCACGGTTTCAAAAAGTAGAAATTTCTTCAGCAATGACAAAAATGGAAGTAAAAGCAAAATTGGAGGAGGTATTTCCTTATCTTCGGCAACAAAGGTAAGATGAATAATAACTGTGTAGCTGCTATTAATTTACATTACTTACTTACTTTGAACTGACCGCTGTCTCCTCAACTTGGACACATCTATTTCTGCCATGTGGGCAAGGGTAAAATAGACACTTAAGGCCCTCTTGCTAGACCCAGCTTAGAATTAAAAGGATAAGGAAAGTTAAGTTTTGGGAACAACTGGTAACAGCCAATCATATGATACTGGAGCTCAGCAAGGCAAGTGTGCTGAGCCCCTTTGAAAATAACATGGACAGCCTTTTTTGTGTGGTTTTAATGTGATAGTCACATGGATGCAGAGCATACACACATACAGTCTGTGAAAAAAGGGGAGGGGCCACCCAGACATGCAGCCTGTTTTTACTTGCACTGGCCAAAGTCAGCCTTTAGCTTTGTTTTTATATTGGACATCCATATTATGGTCAGTTGTCAGCTGTGAAAACAGTGTATTTGCCGACCAGTATTGCAGGCTTAGGTGTACAACTTACTGGGGTCCTTTCTTGAAAATTGTCAGCTGACCTTATTGAAGTTGACATCAATTACATGGAAGTCTAGCATGTTCTATTTTAGGAGTTCACTTTGTCAGTAATTGTTTAGAGGCCCAAAAACTTGTTTGTTCATTTGAAGCGCTGTCATTTTGAATATTTTCTTCAAACCCTCCGCCCATAATTAAGTCAGCACTTCTTGTGCCACGGTGACCTACAAAGATTTGAGTTTCACAGTCAGTGATCTGGCTACATATCGAAAAATTCTTACCTTTTTTTCTCGAACAATTATAGAGACACTTTACTGTAAACAATAAAAAAGACCATAAAAGGAATAAAAATCTCTGTCATTGTTAACCCAAAACCAAAACCCAAAGTTGCGGCGCTATTGAGCTCCTGGCTGGAAGATGTTTAATTTCCACTGTTTTAAAAAAAGGTTTTGCATAATAATTTGTTTTTATGTTCTGTCTGGTGTCCCTTTCAGTTATTTTACACATAAAAAATTGCAGTGACTGTGTTTTTATGGTATTGAACTTAACTTGTTCTTATATATTAATACTTTTTCCACTTCTAATGCTCTTGGTTTTAAGGTTTCCTTTGCACCAGCAACCCCAGAACCTCATACCCAAAGTTGCTTTCATTGGTCTTTTCCCAGAATTTTATTTTGCTAATGATCAACAATAAAAATTGATCCAAGATGAGATGGTGATGGCAGTCTGTTTTCCACACCTTGGCTTACTGTTTGCTTTTATTACCCTAACCAAAATACTAACTTACTTAGGCTGGGAATCATATCAGGCCTAATATTAATAGTCTTTTCTTAAATTAGATTCTTCTGTGCTAAAGCAGTGGAAGGAGGAACTCGATTGGACTTCTATGGAGAACCCAGTATTTGGGATGGAAAACTCATAAAAAAAATCCTCCCCGGAAACTATGTTCTCTATATTTTAACTTACGAGGTATGGTTCACTTTACAGGTAACTCATTTAGTCACACTAGGCACTGCACTAGGTTGTACAGTGCAAATCATTTATAGATTAAAAAATGTTATTAATAATACTATTATTATTGTAACTTTCATGTTTATATCAATGCACTATTGTCATCATTTCCCAATAGGAAAATGATGACGAACAAGATCCAACAGTCTCAAATCTGTCAACTAACACATGCTCCCTGCATAATCTGATGATGACAACTGGTAAAGTAGTATACTTTTGTAACTTTAATAATTTATCCCGCATTCATTGCTGGGTGCTGAAATAGTGTCAGTAGTACATGTATCAGGCAACTTTTGGCTAAGCTTATATAAAACAAAGGTAAAAGTGTAAATTATATATCGCTATAAAAAAACATAGTTGACCATAAGTACATAACCATAGCTTCATTATGATTTAAGTCACTGAATATATACCTTCAGATCAACAGTTGTGTTCAAATTGTGACTTTTTCAATCAAATGAAAGGTGTGGATATGATCCTTTATCTGAAAAAGAAAAATTGGTCACAGAAAATTGTGTGCATAAAGCTTGGTTCTCATGTGCCACAGAGCTACCTGCAACATAAGCTACCGTGGTACTGCCTGCAATACCATTCCGATGTGAGAACAGAAGTCCCCACCAAGAGAGGCCACCTCAGTCTTAACTGCCAGCATACCTGCAAAGTTGACTTGAGTTCGACTTCGCAGGCATGCTGGCAGTAAAGTCCTACCAGATTTCTTGTTGCTGGTGGTGTTATGTCCTCACTTGTCTGAGTAGTATCGCAGGCAGTACTGGCGACTACATCACAGGTACTTCAGAAGCATCTTTAGCTTGTTCATGCTTTAATAGTAACCAGGTAAGACTTTAGAGCAACCTTGTTCCCAGGGTTCTCTCCTAATAGGAGAGAGAACCTGGGAATGAGGTTGGTCTTTGGAGCACTTTTAACCACTGGTTATACAACCAATTAAGCGCCCTGGGCGCTTACTTATTAAATTGCATGGTGGACCTTGAGAGTGGGCACTTAATCGAATAGATATGGTATCCCCGGTTAGTTTTATTTACTTTTTTTTTTACTTTGGTGCAAGTACATATTATGCCATGCAATAATTATAAAGTTATAAGCTGAAAAAAAAAATTATTGGTTGTTTTCGTCTCTCTCTCTATCACATCATTCGTTTCTGTCACATGAGGCATCTTGAGCATCCTGCAAGAGAAAAAAGGAAATCTGTATTCAATGTCTTTGTTAGAAGATTATGTCACTCTTGAAGGGATCGGGTCAAATTATGAAAAGTATTGATTAGATTAAATAAGATGTACCTATTAAATCATACAGAATAGTGAATCAGTTGTTTACAGCAACAGGCTTTGAAGATAGTAAATTAACCGCCTAACCATCTTTTCCATACCCAGCACCTCCTTCTGGATTGTTGTCCAATTTAACCCATTTCCGAGTTGCCTCAAGCCTCTTTTTCAAAGAGAGGCCAAGTTCAAAGCTATTGATATGAAATTGATTTTTTATTCTCATGCAAATAAAAGTCATTTACACAAGAAAGGTTTTGCACTTAAGCTTCATTTTGATGAGCATTTTGTATTGGAAACCCCGAAATGCCCTATTCACATTCAATAGCAAACTCAAGTAATCAAACCTGATAGTATTATTATACTGTACTGCCATTCGAACATTTCTAATTTCAAGTTCTAAGCTTGCTTTCTGGCTGAAAAAACAAACTTTCAGAGTTTGTTCTTTACTAAAATCTAAATCCGGATAAATTTTTTAATCCAAAAACAGATTATTGATCCAAATGATCCACAACGGAAGTGGATTCTTTGGATCATATCCAAAACCGGATACTTTGGATACATGATCTAAATCAATTCTTTACTATGGATCAGAAAAGAGTGAATACAGACAGTGGTAACTCGAAACAATGTTATTACATAGAGCAGCAGTTTGACAACACTGCTCATCTTTACGGCCATTTTTGAACTTGAGCCATGGATTAAATTAATGATCTACTTTATCTTTTTTATCGGGATGGTAAAATCGCCATACAAACAGGACCTGCAATGTTCTCATTCAAAAGGACAAATCAAGAATAAACTGCTACACAACTTCACCGGTGCGTCTTGCAACATTTTACTTCTCCGATAGATATCTCATTTCAAGACTCATCTTCACTTGGCTCATCTAAAGCAGTATATTTGAGCTAACCGTCTTGCAGAATACAAAGAAAGATCAACAAGTTTGCAACATTATCAGCAGCTGTGTTATTTTTCTCTCTAGGATACCGTCAATATTGTGCACCCTCATAAAAAATTCAAGAGAAAGAGGGAAATAATTACCACTTCTAATCAAATTTTTCTAGTATTTTTTTTTGTATTATAATATTTTTCAAAACGGGAAAAAACTGATCAAAACTGCTCCTGAATCAGTTCATTAAATCTTATGTTTTCTGTTTTTACCTCACCTACTGCACGGGATACATGGGAAAATCTTCAATATGAATAGGTATATTTTAAAGAGCTTAAGCATGAAAATTATGGTTAGGATGAAGTAAAACTGAAGATCCCTAAGGGACTATTCGGTTGATTTTGTGACACTTATGCACTCATCAATGGTTTACCCCAGGAAGGGTGGGGGGAGGGGGGACAAACCACGGGAATTTGAAAAGAAGAAAAATTCATGCAAATCCTCATTTATATCAATTATTTGCATTAGTGTAGCCTGCGTAACAAGCGTTTCCATTTAGTTTTGGAGCAAAGAAAGACCGGTTTTGGCCGCGCGAGAAATGAAATGAGAGCCAAAAAATGAAAGAGGGGGGAGGGGAGGGGAAGGAAGGAAACGCTTGCAGACAATCCCCTCGATTTTGAAAACCTGCATTTGCCAGCAAACGCAGCAACTGATTGGCTCGGCTCCTCGAACAATGTTGTCATGTGTCGATCAAAGGTTTGTTTCATACTGAGAGGTCATTTATGGTACATGACACGCATGCTGTGATTGTTGTTTAGTCTGGTCAGCAAGATTTGAAACGCAAAGCTCTTCTTGCGACTTAATAAGGGTATCAGGTCGTTTAATTTATTCTCTAAAGTGCCTCCTGGATTTGAATAACTCAAATCGATTTTCTTTTGTCAGCAAATGCGATAGTTTCTGCAATGTTTTGTCATGCTAGGCCCAGGTCGTTAGTGTTTTTTTTTTCCCTCAGATAGTGATTTACAGATCCAAATTTCGAAGAATGGATTGCAACTGTGGAGAACTGCATTGTGACTAAGCAATGATCATTCGGATTCATTGAGAGTTCACCATTAATGCGTTCCAAAATACATGAAAAATTATTTTGGTTTACACACGCGTCCGCTTTTCCGCTCCACCAAGGTCAATTATTTTATTGGTCAATTATGACAGCTGTTGACAGCATCAAATGTCGGTGCGTGCGCTTCAGCATGACAGGCCAAGTGGCCCTCCGCTCTTTTACTTGTACCATTTTTCGCGCGGTCTTTGACTCTCGTTCCTCGTTCTTTGCTCCTAAACCACAAGGAAATGCTTGCTATGCATGCTCCCATTAGTGCAACTTACATGTTTTTACTAGATGCTAGCTGCCCTGCTACAATATAGCCAAAGATTGAAAAATCACTTGTACAGACATGAGATAGTCCTGGAATTATTTTGCTGTTGATTTGCTAGTATGCTCTGGTGTCAAATAAAAATATAATGACGTTCTGGACCTCAACAAACATCAACCCTTAGACATTAGAGCTAGAGCCTTAGATTCTAAGACAAGTACTACTACAAGTACCAATCTCATTTTCGGGGGAAAATGTTATGGTAGTTGTCATAAATTTCTAGTATGAGTTTTAGCATTGAAGAGTGCCATAGTGGCAAAAAAAAGTTTTAAAACGTTAGAAAATTTATTATTTTGAGATGGGGATCAAGAGATAACAGTGCAACCTTTTGGGGTGAAAAAAAAATACAATGAAGCTTCCCGGGGTTTCTATTTTTGGGAATTCATGAAAAAACTTTAAGTCACATCTCGTACACACATAAGCCTTCAATAAATAACAATTATTCACCGAAGTGGAGGTGGCTAGTCCTGGATATTTACCGAACTGTGAAGCAGTGAGGTAAATATCCAGGACTAGCCACCGACACTGAGATGAATAATTGTTTTAGTATATACTAAAACAGTGAGATAATTGAGCGCAAAAATAACGATTTTTAACTCAAATACTGTTGCCAACGATTACAATTTTGGCGCGTAATGACCGGGCGGCCACGGCCGTCGCTTTTTCTTGCCGACAATTAAAACTTTTGAAGGCGTTTGTTTAGCTCTTGCGGGGAAATTTCTTCAAAAGGAGTTGTGAATTCTTTTTGTATTTAAAATCATCTATAAAAAAGATTATTAAAAAATTAATTCAGTTTTAAGTTTATTTATGAACAACTCAACTAAATAAAGTAATGCAAGACTTAAACTTAATTTGCATTTGTAAACAAAAAACTTTTTCACCGGTTTTATCGATAAATTCGTGTCAAAAAGACAAAGCTTTACCTGTTAAAACTTCCAATCCGAACTTCGTCACCTTCTTTGTGTATTTGGGAAACAGCTTGCTTGATTAGTTGTGAAATTTCTTTGTTTGTCTACGGCAGAAAACTGGGAAAGCATTTTGATCGCAACTTACGCGAGTTTGGCGTCGCTCGCTCGGAGGAACTGGAGGTGAAACAGTGAATAGTGTAGGATATTCACTGATTGAGTAGCCAATCAGAGCACGCGAAAAACGCTATCCACTGTTTTAGTATATACTAAATATTATTATTCATTTATATTCATTCAATTATAATAAAATCATTTTATTATTATTGGTTCTTGTACTGTCAACTTAGCATAATTTCTGAGAATTAAGATATCATGGAGGAAGCAGAAAGCAAGATAGGTAGCTTCCAAGAAAAACAATGCTACTCGTTCAGGCTTGCAAACCTATACAGTAGGACCCTGGTAACTCAAAGTCTGAAGGGAAACAATAAAACAGTTCAAATTAGTGAGGGTTTAAGTTATTGGGGTTGATCACAAAATTCAATTTGCTACGTTTAAAATTAATACTCACTGATTTCTCAGCACTTTAGTGTTTGGTGCAGTGCAAATTTAACTCATTTAATCAGAAACAGTACCCTGCGAACAGAGTCTCCTTCGATCTTCCTAGATCAACTCATCTAGGAAAGATCGAAGCAACTCTACTAGCAGGGTACAGAAACAGTAACATGATTAGTCTTTTTTTATGATAAAATGTACTGATCTGTTCGTTTCACCAACATTAAAATCAAATTGCTTTAGTGTTGACCAGTGTTAGTTTTAGTATTTTAAACTTTAATTTACGCACCTATCAATGTAATGCCGGGGGGGGCAGGGCATAGGGCAGGGATTTGACTTTTTTCAAAAATTTGCAATCAAATTCCCTGCCCACGGGCAAATCATTCCAGTCAAATCCAACCAAATTTCCCCACCCCAGGCTGCACATTGCTGTCAATCCCAAGGCGGAACCTAAGAAAGGCACAATAAAAATATCTCCAAATAAAACTCTGCAATCTTTTATAAACGTTGCTGCATCACCAAAGATACATGTTCCTGTTACAGCTGCAATTATCATTTTAACCATAATCCGTGTTACACTGCGTAGAATACATAAACCTTTAGGAGAAAGTCCACATTTTGTAAGTGTAAATTTACCGTTCTTAGTAAAGGGTACAAAGAAAGTCAGTTTTATAAGTTTACAGTGATTGTAGCGAATGAGCCATACACTAATCAATTGTACTTGCAAAAATCGACTTGGTTTCTCTTTACTTCCGTTTACTTTGATACCACAGTAAATTAAGAGGTT